GACTGACGATTCTGTACAACGACTGTACGATCTAAATCTGTGTATCGTTCGTTCATTCATTTTTCAATATAAAACCAAAAATAAGAAAATGAAAAAACAACAGTTTTCTTCATTATTTGTCTCCAAAACCCAAATGAAAAAACAGATAATGATTCATTTTTTTCAGTTTTCGATTTTGTGTTTAAATGAAAAATGGAAAAAACGGATAACGGACGTTTCCCGTTTACGTGACTTCCGTGACTGTGATGTTGGACTTTTGCACCGCATACGGACTGAACCAGGACTGATCCAGGTCCGGGACCAGACCGGGACTGAAACCGAGACCAGACCGGGACCAGACCAGGACCAGACCGGGACCAGACCGAGACCAGACCGGGACCAGACCGGGACCAGACCGGGACCAGACCGGGACCAGACCGGGACCAGACCGAGACCAGACCGGGACCAGACCGGGACCAGACCGGGACCAGACCGAGACCAGACCGAGACCAGACCGGACCAGATGGAGACCAGACCAGACCAGGACCGGGGAGAGACCAGACCGGGACCCGAGACCAGACCGAGACCAGACCGGGACCAGATCGGGATCAGACCGAGACCAGACTGAGACCAGACCGAGACCAGAATGGGACCAGATGGGACCAGATTGGGATCAGACCGAGGACCAGATGAGACCAGACCGAGACCAGATCGGGACTGAGACCGGGACCAGACGGATGAGACCAGACCAGACCAGGACCAGGCCGGAACCAGACCGGGACCAGACCGAGACCAGACCGGGACCAGATTGGGACCAGACCTCGACCAGATTGGGATCAGACCAAGACCAGACCGAGACCAGACCGGGACCAGACCGAGACCAGACCGAGACCAGACCGGGACTGAGACCGAGACCAGACCGAGACCAGACCGGGACCAGATCGGGATCAGACCGAGACCAGACTGAGACCAGACCGAGACCAGAATGGGACCAGATTGGGACCAGATTGGGATCAGACCGAGACCAGACTGAGACCAGACCGAGACCAGATCGGGACTGAGACCGGGACCAGAGCGGGACTGAGACCAAGACCAGACCAGGACCAGGCCGGAACCAGACCGGGACCAGATCGGGACTGAGACTGAGACCAGGGCAGGGCCGGAGCTCGAAGCTGAGGCTCGGACCCCGCGGAGGCTCAGAGTCAAAGCTCGGAGTCCAGTCTGGTCCCGGACCTGGATCAGTCCTGGTTCAGTCCGTACGCGGTGCAAAAGTCCAACATCACAGTCACGGACGTCACGTAAACGGGAAACGTCCGTTATCCGTTTTTTTCATTTTCATTTAAACACAAAATCGAAAAACTGAAAAAATGAATCATTATCTGTTTTTTTCATTTTGGTTTTGGAGACAAATAATGAAGAAAACTGTTGTTTTTTCGTTTTCTTATTGTTGGTTTTATATTGAAAAACAAATGAACGAACGACACACGGATTCTTCTAGAGTGAAAATGCCGCTCAATTGACTTTCATTTCTGGCAGATTTATTTATTTATTTTAATTTTTTCACATTTCATGTCTTTTCTCTGTCAGTCTGATTTGACTCAGTATCGGAGGCGGGTTCCAATGTAATAAAGTTAAATACTTGGGTCAAAATGTACTCGAGTAAAAGTAAAACAACCTATTTCAAAAACTACTTAAAAAATGACAAATTACTCATAAAAACTACTTGATTACAGGAGCGTGAGTAAATATAATCCGTTACCGTTGCTCTAGACGAGAATAAAGCATCTCAGAACTAGTAAGAAGATAATGAACCTGAAAACAAGATGAATAACCTGATATAAATTTTAAAATCAGGTCCAGATCAGAGAAATTTGCAGTGAGGAAATGACGGAAACGAGGAAATACGGATGAGAAAGAGTTGGGAGAGAAAATAAGGGAAAGAAAGAGGGAGCGAGAGAGTAAAGATGGAGGGATTTGGACGGAGGACAGAGGAAGGGCTGAGGAGGAGAGAGACGTCGTCCGTTTGTCACCCTGAGTGTGACTCGCAGCAGATGCTCGGGCTCTCGCGGCTGTGGAGCTGCAGATGTGAGTTTATCCGAAGACCCCGCGGCGTTTTGACTGCGCACGGCTCCGACACGCTCGCTCTGAACGCTCTCCGCTCCACAGAAGGTGAGGAAAGAGGAGGAGAGTTTGATGATGATCGTGATTTCAGATGGAGGGCAGGGGTTTGCGTGGGAGATTCACTGGTGTCACGTGATCATTTTAGGACTAGAAGTTCTTTCAGCTGACGACAATCGCATCTTTGGGGTTGAATACAGGCAACGCTTTCTGGAGCAGGTTAAAAAAGAGGAGCAGAGGAGCAGAAGAGAAGGTCAGAGGAGCAAATGAGCAGAGGAGAGGGTCAGTGGAAAAGAGAAGAGGGTCAGAGGAGCAGAGAGAAGGTCAGAGGAGCAGAGGAGAAGGTCAGAGGAGAGGGTCAGAGGAGCAGAGGAGAGGGTCAGAGAAGAGCAGAGGAGAGGTCAGAGGAGAGAAGAGAGGCAGAGGAGCAGAGGAGCAGAGGAGAAGAGTAGAAGGCCAGAGGGTCAGATAGAGCAGAGAAGAGGTGAGAGAAGAGAGGGTCAGAGAAGAGAGAGAGAAGAAGGTCAGAGGAGTCAGAGAGGAGAAGGTCAGAGAAGGTCAGAGAGAGAGAAGGTCAGAGGAGCAGAGGAGAAGGTCAGAGGAGCAGAGAGCAGAAGAAGTCAGAGGGAGCAGGAAAGAGTCAGGGAGCAGAGAGAGAAGTCAGAGGAGCAGAGAAGAAGTCAGAGGAGCAGAGGAGAAGCAGAGGAGAAGAGAAGAGGTCAGAGGAGCAGAGGAAGAGGTCAAAGGAACAGAGGAGAGGTCAAAGAGCAGAAGAGAGAGGGTCAGAGGATGCAGAAGAGAAGGTCAGAGGAGCAGAGGAGAGAGGATAGACGGTCAGATAGCGAAGAGGACAAGGTCAGAGGAGCAGAGGAACAGAGGAGAAGAGGAGAGGGTTAGAGGAGCAGAAACTGAAAAGAAAAGAGTGAAAGGAGCAAAGGAGAGGGTCAGAGGAGGAAAGAAGAAGGTCAGAGGAGGAGAGGAGAGGGTCAGATGGAGCAAAGAAGCAGAGGAGAGGGTTAGAAGACCAGGAAGGTCAGAGGAGCAGAGGAAAGGGTCAAAGGAGCAAACGAGAGGGTTAGAGGAGAAGGTCAGATGGTCAGAGAAGCAGAGGAGAAGGCCAGAAAGACTTGGAGGAGCAGAGGAGCAGAGAAGAAGGTCAGAGGAGCAGAGGATGAAGAGGAGAAGATCAGAGGAGGAGAGCAGAGGGTCAGAGGAGCAGAGGATGAAGAAGAAAGGGTCAGAGGATTAGAGGAGAAGGTCAGAGGAGCAGAGGAGGAAGGTCAGAGGAGCAGAGGAGAAGGTCAGAGAGAGTCAGAGGAGAAGGTCAGAGGAGCAGAGAGCAGAGGAAGAGGAGAAGGTCAGAGGAGCAGAGGAGGAGAGGAGAGGTCAGAGGAGCAGAGAGAGAGAGAGAGAAGGTCAGAGAGTCAGAGGAGAAGGTCAGAGGAGAGGGTCAGAGAGGAGAAGGTCAGAGGAGCAGAGAGAGGAGAGGGTCAGAGGAGCAGAGGAGAGGAGAGAGAGGAGAAGGTCAGAGGAGCAGAGGAGAGGAGAGAGAAGGGTCAGAGGAGCAGAGGAGAGGTCAGAGAGGAGAGGAGAAGGTCAGAGGAGCAGAGGAGAAGAGGAGAAGGTCAGAGGAGCAGAGGAGAAGAGGAGAGAAGGTCAGAGGAGCAGAGAGAAGATCAGAAGAGCAGACTCGAGCGTCAGATGAAGCAGAGGAGCAGAGGAGAGGGTCAGATGGAGGAGAGGAGTAGAGAAGAGGTCAGAGGAGCAGAGCTGGAGAAGGTCAGAGGAGCAGAGGAGCAGAGGAGAGGGTCAGAGGAGCAGAGGAGAGGGTCAGAGGAGCAGAGGAGAGGTATTATATTCGTTTAGCTTCAGTCTCATCTCTCTCTCTCCGTCCTCGGCTCTGACTCTAAGTGCAGATATTACATCATAAATTATAGATGCGGTGGAATTATTCATGTTTAAAAGTGAGTGTTACCTGTCCACACCAGAAGAGGAGACCAGAGGAATTAACCAAACTCAAACTGGATCGACTTTCTTCAACGGCAAATACCACTATAACCTGGCAGCCATTTTGTCTCACTTTTATTATTATATTAACATTTTCAGTTTCATTATTATTACACTGAAATTTGTCTTTAAAACTGACGCTTAAAGGTTGTATGGAGGATTTTTTGTTTGTTTCAAATTGTCAATGAAAGTTTAAAACACCATGACAGAGACGCAGCAGCCTTGGAATTATGATGACCAAAAAAAAAAAAGAAAGAAAATCTATCAACTGTGGACGTGTTGAGGCCAGATAAACATCAGCCAATAGAAAACGAGGCTGCCTCATTTTCTATTGGCTGTCAGGTTCGTCAATCAAACTCCCTACGTTTCTAAGGTAACCATGCAGCGGGTCTTAGAGGCTTTTCCTAATTGTGGCTCTCTCGCAGTTCGCATAAAGTTTGTTGCGACGGCGGACGAGAATCCACGACCAGTTCGCCGCAAAAGAAAGTCGTTTTTTGACGTCGCTGAAAGAAGGAGAAAGGAGAAAAGGAGCGAAGACAAACTGAGGTGATTCTTGGAGATTCCTTCCAGCGACTGAAGCAGACGAAGGGTCTAAAAACTGAGGTGTCGGTCTCTAAATTATTTCTAGAGGGACCTGTGGAGGAGGAAGGTGGAGTCACGCATGCACTACATTTTAAAAAGGACTGTCGCTGGATTTGTCTTTCCTTAAAAAAAATCCTCTATACAACCTTTAAAGAAGATAATCTATAAGTTCAATCTATTATAAGTGGTAAAAATAAGTCGTTTGGAAGCATAAAATCAGATTGAGTGAAGTCTAGTACAGGACCGGCGCCATTTTGAGGACTTTTTAGCGTTAGATTTGACTGAGTTGTGACGGTTCGTGGGTTGGTTCTGACCTGAGAGAGCCACTCCTCGTCGTCCGGGCCGCTGTGGTCGGAGGACAGACTGTCTGAGGACTCGTGTCTGGTGATGGGCCCCGGGCTCCCAGGAGGCATCGCTGCAGCAAAACAAACGCATTAAATTAGAAAACAGGGACTAAAACAGGCGCTTTGGATTAGAAAACAGAGACAATAACTCACATGGAGACAGAGAAAATGGGGTTTGAGATAGTAAATAAAAAAGAAAAACAACAGACAGTCAACAGTTCTGAACACTTAAACGTCTGCTCTGGTTCCAAAACTACATTTCTCATTTATTTTTTTCCCATAGACTTTTCAAAATGTTCAAATATTAAATGTCTGAAAGTTAAAAGTTTGACGTTTTCAGTCCAAAAACATTAAAAAGTTAGAATTTCTTAAACCTAAAATGCATTTCTCTGAACCAAATAGTCAGAACTAGCAAATGTATGAACTGAAATGTACTGAAATGTAGTTTTTGATACCATTTATTACTTTTATTTATGTCATTTAAAATAAATAATTCATTAATCAAAAACAATAAATAATAGATAATAAAAAATACAACTTAAAGGATGAATTTCAGGTTATTTTCTGATGTTATAATGTTGTTTTCTTGTCACAAACAGACCCGGAGTTGTGTTTTGTTTTGTTTCATTCGCACGTTTATGTTCCACCTTGTGACGTCACGTGGTAATACAGGAAGGAAGTGCTCCTCTGTGTTTTTAAACTCCACACACCTTCACGAGAATCATTTGGCTCATTTCAGTCCTGGAGTTGCCGATCTCGAGTGAACTGAAGGTAAAAGGAGCTGTTGACGAGCGGTGAGAAAAGCTCAGACTCTCCTCACGCACAAACACAACACACAACACATCTTCTACCCACGAGCAGGAGCCCAGGCACAGAGAAAACTCCTGAAGGGACTCAGTGCAATAATCTATTCTATTTTGTTCTATTCTACTTGATTGTACTCGATCCTATTTTGTTCTATTCTACTCTGTTCTACGCGATTCTATTCTACTCTATTCTATTCTACTCTATTTTGTTCTACTCTATTCTACTTGATTCTATTCTACTCTATTTTGTTCTATTCCACTCGATTCTGTTCTATTCTATTCTACTTCTATTTTGTTATCTATTCCTACTCAATTCTACTCTACTTTGTTCTATTCTACTCGATTCTACTCTACTCTATTTTGTTCTATTCTACTCTATTCTATTCTACTCTATTTTGTTCTATTCTACTCTACTCTATTCTACTCTATTTTGTTCTATTCCACTCAATTCTACTCTACTCTACTTTGTTCTATTCTACTCTATTCTATTCTACTCAATTTTGTTCTATTCTACTCAATTCTACTCTATTCTACTCTACTCTAATCTATTCTACTCTATTTTGTTCTATTCTACTCGATTCTATTCTATTCTACTCTACTCTAATCTATTCTACTCTATTTTGTTCTATTTCTATTCTACTCGATTCTATTCTACTCTATTCTATTCTACTCTACTCTATTCTATTCTACTCTATTTTGTTCTATTCTACTCTATTCTATTCTATTCTACTCTACTCTATTTTGTTCTATTCTACTCGATTCTATTCTATTCTACTCTACTCTACTCTATTCTACTCTATTTTGTTCTACTCTATTCTGTTCTATTCTATTATTTATGTATGCATTTATTTATGTATTTAATGTTTTTATTGGTGTGGATGTGAGAAAGTGTTTATATTTATTATTTTTACTGCTGCAGTTTTGCTCTGTAGAAGTTTTGTTGTATTTTGCACGACAAAAAATAAATAAATCTAATCTAATCCAATCTAAAACTTAAAAACCACCACCACATGACTCGTGTAGACTCCCTCAGTCGTCCAGGTAGAATCCACGACAAAGTAGGAATTACATTTTTTCAACTGGACAAACATTTCAAATCAAATCAAATCAAACTTTATTTATAAAGTGCTTTTCATACAAAATGTACAGTGATTAAAAACAATCCCACATTTCCATCCAACAAACCAGACACACACACACACACACACACACACACGCTAAAATACATAAAACCGGAAACTGCTTCTTCAGTTCTGGTCAGACTCTGGTGGACACTGTCTTATATCTGTCTGCAGGGAGGAGCTAACTACACTGAAACTACTCTGAAACTAACACACACACTTGTTTACTCTTTCTGTATGCAGTTCAGCCTATTCTTCTGTCCTGAGTGTTGGGTCATATTAAAAGACTCATTCAGGTCCATAATGAGTATTTTCACACCTCTGGCCCTGACCTGGCTCCCACTATTGTTCTCTTTGTTCTAGGTTAAAGAGGTTATTTCTGTTCGGAAAGAGAATCCTTCGTTGAACAGAAATGTAGGACTCCATCCTCAAACCTAAAACAAAGAGAACAACAGGAGTATCCAGGTCAGGGCCAGAGGTGTGAAAACACTCATTATGGTCCTGAATGATTCTGCTGATATGACCCCACACTCTGGACACATGAACAGGCCGAGCTACAAACAGAAACTGTAAACATGTACGTGTGTCAGTTTCAGTGTAGTTTTCTCCTATAAAACAGTGTCCACCAGCGTCTGACCAGAACTGAAGAAGCCGTTTGGATGAGCTGAGAAATGTTTTAAACCTAAATAAACATTTGTCCCACTGACAAAATGAATTTCTCCTCTGCCAACCACGACATGACATCACAAGGTGGAAGAGAGCATTTGAGCTTTGGAGATGTAGACAAAGAATCCGTGTATCATTCGTTTATCAAAATAACACCAAAAATAAGAATACGAAAAAACAACTGTTTTTGAGTTGTTTTTTCATTTTTCGATTTTGTGTTTAAATGAAAAATGTAAAAAGTGGATAACGGTGACGTCCGTGACTGCGATAACGGACTTTTGCACCGTATACGGACTGAACCAGGACTGATCCAGGTCCGGGATCAGACCGAGACCAGAGCAGGACTGAGACCGGGACCAGACCGAGACTGAGGCCAGACCGGGACCAGACCGGAGGCTCAGAGCCCAGGGCAGGGCTGGAGCTCGAAGCTGAGGCTCGGATCCCGCGGAGGCTCGGAGTCAAAGCTCGGAGTCAAAGCTCAGAGTCTACTCTGGTCCCGCTCTGGTCCCGCTCTGGTCCCGGTCTGGTCCCGGTCTGGTCCCGGTCTGGTCCCGGTCTCAGTCCCGGTCTGGTCCCGGACCTGGATCAGTCCTGGTTCAGTCCGTATGCAGAGCAAAAGTTCGACATCGCAGCCACGGAAGTCATGTAAACGGGAAATGGCTGTTATCCGTTTTTTCCATTTTTCATTTAAACACAAAATCGAAAACTGAAAAAACGAATCAATATCTGTTTTTTCATTTTGGTTTTGGAGACAAATAATGAAGAAAACAGTTTCGTTTTTCTTATTTTTGGTTTTATATTGAAAAACGAATGAACGAATGATACACAGATTACTATGGTCCCATCCACACTAGTTCGTATTTGAGTTGTTTTCGTTGTGGATGCAGTGTTCGTTCACACTAATCCGATGGAAAACGGCTCCAAACATGGAACGATCTGGTGCCTCCATCTCCCACGAATTCACCTGAGTACAGATCTGATCCGGCACCGTGTGGACGCCTGAAAACACTGATACTCTGATGTATTTTCCGGGCTATTAGTCGCTCTGGATTATAAGATTATAAGTCATTAAATGGTCTATTTTCGAACTTTTTTCACAAATAAACCGCACGGGACTTTAAATGAAACCCAACAGTGTGATGGTGAGTGGTTTTGTTTGTTTGTTCGTTCACGGTGACTCTGGGCTTTGTTCAGTTGTGGCGTGTAGGGAGGGTGTGTCTGGGTCCCTGGATTGTCGGCGTGTTTCGCAGTGACTCAGTTGTTCAGTCGTGTCTAGAAGCGTCACGTTGCGCTCGCTTTTTTCGGTTCGTTCCTCCGTTCCGTTCCTCGTCGGCGTGGAGTGATGAGTGTGTCTGTGGGTGTGTTTCTCTGTGCGGTCGCTGTCTGCTCCGTGTGTGTTTGCGGCTTTGTAGTTTACTGAAGTCGTACTGGGACACCTGAGTGGATTCGTGTATGGGGCGCTCTGGATTGTGGCGCGCGGTCGTTTTTTGATGGGGTTGGAGGCTTTTGAACGCACCCTATAGCCCAGAAAATACGGAAGGTCTATGCACCGCAAAGTAATTCAACGCCAAAACACTAAGAGGATAGAATGTATGTCCATTCATAGACAGTGTTGGGGGAGTAACAGATTACATGTACCGGAGTTACGTAATCAGAGTACAAATTATGAGTAACTGTATTCAGTTACAGTTACTGTTTCAGTGAGTGGTAATTGGATTACAGTTACTTTGTTAAATTAAATGGATTACACAGAGGTATTTTTCTGTTTTCACATTTTGGGCTATGTAGGGAGGGTGCTTTAACATTGTAAAAAAAAATATTTTGCTAATTCCACTCATTGCCAGAAACCTAAACAGAACGCGGCAATAAGAGCGATGTAAACGTCTTGTTAACGTTGGCAGTGTCAGTCACACAGTGGATGAGGTTGTTAATAATCGTCATTCTTAATCTAATTCTGCATAATTTTGAGTAAAAAACATCCAATATTACTGATTTTTACTGGCACCTTTATGTTTGTAATGAAAGTGATTATTATTATTATTATTTTAAATAAACAATATGGCATCTAACAGTAGGTGGACATAATTTAAGGCAGCAGTGATCTCATATAAAAATCATTTCTCTGTCAATAATATTTTGAATCTGGTTAAGGAAAGATTGGGCTTTTTATTTTTATTTTTTTTACATCAGACAAAACATCTTTGTCTTTGCTTCTCTACAGCAAACCTGTTCATGGAGATTTGGCCTCAACAGACAGTTTGAAGAGAACAAACAAGAATTTTCAGGATGTGTTACTGCATTCATGTAGTTTTAAAAAGTATTACAATATCAAGTAATCCAAAGTATTCAGATTACGTTACTCACTTTAAGTAATTTAATGGATTATGTTACAAACTACATTTTGAAATATGTAATCTGTAGTCTGTAGGGGATTACATTTTAAAAGTCACCTTCCCAACACTATTCATAAATACGGTC